TGAGTTTTTACGTTTTTTTTTTGTCAGTGGTTTCCGTCAGCATCAACAATGAACCATTCACCCAGAGAGGTTACCCCACATTTCCTACCCCTTTCTGACAGGAAGGTATGTATCCCTTTCGTTGTGAGAATAATTTGGGGCAATTAATAAAGGATAAATTATGGCAGCCTGAAACCATCTATATCACATGTACAGAGGTCTGGCGACAGTCGAAATTCTGCCAGCCTGAACCAGCCCATTCGCCAGCACGCTCCTCGAAATTTACTATCAAACATCGAATGGGCACGACTCGGTCCCTGAATAATGAAGCAATTTATTCTCAAAAGCAGACTAACTGTCTAGAAAAAGAAATAACGCAAGCTCTGTCATACGACAATGAAATGTTATCAACTCCAATAACGGTAAACAGCATCATACAATTTATAAACCATTCTCGTCTTATTAAGGGGCTGGTCCTCAGAAGATGCCTTCTGGCTAGGATTGACAGCACTTCCTCTATTGCTTTCTGCAAGAAAAATTCCTTTTCTCTTCTCAATTTCCTGGCGTAGTTTGTAAATGGAGACTCATCTCCTCCTCTCTATTCAGTTCTGTATTTTTAACTCTCAAGAGTTTTTCGTAGAATACTCCAGCACGAACCTCAGACTGCCCCTCTGTTCACCTACCCAACAGGCCAAGGAAACCAACTTACTTCTCAGAGCGTATTCTTTGGGCTCCACTGAATTCAGATCAGAAAGGAATTCATCAGTGTCTTGCATGCACTTGAGAGAAATATTTCTCGCAGGAGAAACAAAAGGTAATAGAAACTGAAAAGAAAGTAGACAAAATAGTAAAGTCAGGACCATCATTGTTCCTTAACCTGTCAGCATAAAGCTCCCCTCTTAGACAAAGAGCCTTATATATTTGTGAAACGCTAGTCTATAACATGTTGAGGGGAAATATGACATTGCTCACTCCTTAACAGGCAGAAACAAGCTGTGTCTCCTCAGCCACCTGCAAAGCGGCCGAGATCCACAAACCATGGAAACCAATTTATACACAACTTGTTATTGTTGGGTAAAATCTCACTGTAGATATGGGGGCTGCTGACCACCTGGCTTCCATTAGTTATGCAGATTAACATGGATAAGGCCAGATTTTCTCTGGTTAGAAGGTCTTACATAGATCTCTGGGTTTAAAAATATACCGAGGATGGTACGAGGCAATATGGAGTTTTTCCCCAGAATCATTATGAATCCAACCTATAAAACATTTGGAGAAGCGATCAGCAAAGGAGAACTTCTCCGTGATCATCTGGCTATTCCACGCATCTGTTCATGTGTTTGCCCCACTTGAAAGTAACATAGGTGTGGGAGTGATGAACTCCCCCACGGAAGGAGTGGGATAAATAAGGACATCATCTCGTGGGGCTTAGAACACACATCCTGGGAAGGAAATGATGCTGACAGAAAACCACGGAGACAATGCTCATCTGCTTCAAGGAAACATGAAACGTGTGGGTCTGGATTCCTCAGGGTGTAAATATTTTCTTTCCAGAAAGGGCCTCTTTAAATAGCAACCTCCCTAATTACATTTAAAATGTGATGCAAACCTTGTTTACGCTGTGGGAACGAGTCCATACCTGGCCTGTGGGTGGCTGAGACTCAGCTGGACTTCCTGTGGGTCATGGTTTCACAGTGGCCTCTAGTGTCCCAGACCTTTGGCTGAGTCTGTTGGGGCTGCTGTATCAAAATGCCGGACCAGTCCTTATAAACAACAGAATTTTGTTTCTTACTTTTCTGGACGTTAGAAGTCCAAGATCAAGGCTCCTGCATGGTCATGTTCCAGTGAGGGCCCTCTTCTGGGTGACTAAATAGAAAAAAATCTCTAAAACTTGGATTTATTTCCAAGTCAGTTGTTGATACAGTGTAGTCATTGAAAATATAAAAACGCTTTTGGAATTCAGTGATAAATACTCCATCTTTTGTCGACTGGGAGAAAACAAAATAGTGAGCAGAATACACACCTACTTTTAATAATTAGTATAAAAACCACCTAAAATGATTTTAAAATACCTCTTAAATAAAAAGGAAAAAGGTAATCTTACTTTGGGGAAATTAATAATAGCTCAAGACTCTTCTAATGTTTGTCCCAAGCCTTGAGAAAAAAAAAAAGATCACTAATCAGGTTCAAGGAGACTCAGTTGTTGTTTTTTTATGAAGACATTTTAACCACCTGTTTTATGCCAGGCGATGCGCTAGGCATAAAAATAGGACGTGAAAATAAATAACGCCTACCTTTCCTGAAAGCAGGCCTTTATCACTTCCCGAGGCAGCAGCAATCATCTCGCTGGTGCTATTCACGCCGCAATCATTTTAGTCCAGTAACTAGCTCAATGAAAAGGAAAGAGCGTTAGGCCTCTCATCACCCGGCAATGAATTTGAGAAAACAAGGATTTGTCTTTGCTGACAAGGAAAAAGGATCAACCTGAGGGGAAAATCGTAACTAACAGCTGCTGCTCTCAGGCTGCCGGATGAAAACCACACCTCATGCAACGAGAGGAAATGGAGACCACAGATTAGAAAGCAGGCGGAGATCATGGACGGCTGGGGACATTAATCTGGAAGATGGCAGGCCATTAGCAAATCAGCATAAAATGTCAGGAGTGTAAGTGCTGGGAAGAAAAATCGTGCAGGGCAGCGTCATGGAGAGCGGCGAAGCTGTGTGCGTGTGCTGTCGCTGGGGGAGGGCGCACGCCAGCAAAGTGACCCAGAAAGGCTCTCTGAGCAGGTGACTCCTGAAGTAAAAAGGCCCGCGCGGGAATAACGACGAAGGGAAGTCAAGGGCCAGGCCCCGTGGAGGGAATGAGCGTGTGCGCTAAAGCAACAGCCGGGAAGCAGTGGCGGGAGATGAGGTCGGTGAGTGGACAGGATGCGGGCCACGGAAGGTCCACTGGGGTCTCGTAGCTACTGAAAGGCACACGCTTCTGTTTATCTTGGTCTCTTCTAAAATAACTGACATCCTCAAGTTGCTGGGGTGGTGTCTTATTCAGAGGCGAGCGAGAGTCTAAGCTTTGAAGCGTCCCCGCCGTGACGTCAGCACTCCCTGGGGTCACGACAGCTCAGTGGTTCCTTGAAGGCAGACTGATTCCCCAGGGGGCAGAGAGGCTGAGGAATGTCCATGTCCTTTCCTCTCGCATCTCGGTCCTTCCCTTCCCCTGACCGACAAGTGCAATTCACAACTAGTAGCTGCTGGATGTAACTCTCTGTCGACGGCCACCACGATCATTGCCACCATGCACCAGAATGAATAAATTCAATCTGTCCCTGCTTTGTATGATCTGCAGAAGAGTCAAAGCAGGAGCATTGTTCTGGCCAAGTATTGGGCATCCCATGCCCGAGGCTAGGCTGCTGCCAGGGGTCACCTTCCGGCTTCTGGAGCAAGAGGCAAGATCCATCTCTTGCTGAGAGTCATGCAATAGCAGAGTCCCCAACGCTGGAAGGGTATCAGACACTCAATTGACAAAATCATTACCTCTACTTAGCGATGTCTTCTACCTTTTTCAAGAAAGGGTCCTTCCCTTTGACAGACGCAGCTCTGCTTCTCCTGACTCTCGCCAGCATCACGCCATCCTCTCCAATCAGATCTATGCCTTCTATGCTCTTTCATCAAATAAATGGTATTTATTCTCCAGAAATAACCAATTGAATTAAACTGGACTTGACCCGAAAATCAGACATAGTGGACTCTAACTACAGAGTTCCCCTAGATACAAATAGTCTTGCAAAGGATTGCGTTGAGAAACAGACCTGCCTGGTAGTGTAATTTAGAAGAAAAGCTCCAGGACAAGCAGCTTGCAATAAAATAGCAAATTGAATAATCAATTCCTTTAAATGCTGTGAAACATTATAAATCACGCTACTTGGAGTCAGAACTAACCTTGTAGACTGAATTTAGGAACTAGTAAAGAAAATTTTTTGGGAAGTGCTATTCTGTTTCCTTAAGTAAAAACAGCCACTAGAAAAAGGGTTTAGGATAAACCTGGTGAGGTAATTAGAAAAAGGTAAATACGGAATGCAGAATGCAGAGTACCGGTTCCAGCTCACAGCCCGCCTGTAGGGGATAAAGTGCATGTTGACAAGAAGACGGGTGCAGAGCAGGCACCTCTGAAAGTGCGTTCTGGGTTGTCTGCCAGCATCCCGTCTCCCACTGGCATCCCAGATCCATCACGCATCCCTCTCTGTCCTGCTTTGTGCCCCGCTCGCTGACATTACAGGTTGTTTCTGGGGCTTCCTTGTCCTCTGGCTTTTATTTGGCTTTGACTAGTGAAAGGTGCAGGCAGGAAATCTTTGAGTGTGACGAGACAGCTTCTCTGTAATGTCCCTTCCACGCCCTCCTGCTCCCAGTAGCTCTGGCTCTTATGGAGAAACCCTGTTCTGGGGCTCCAGCTCCGACGCAGCTCGGCAGGCCTGCTCCCCACCAGTGCCAGTCCCTGGGTGTCTCAACATCCCTCTTTCAGACCATGGCTCTGTATGTAGTCCCTTCAATTTTTTTTTTTAAGTTAAACCTCTTTTAATGTGCTATTTATGTCCTGCTAAGACCCTAATTCATTCAAGATCTAATGCTGGGCACCCCCAAATCTACCTTTCCAACAAAGGCAGCAAACGCAAATGAGCAAACTCCCAGAAAAACATAGGCTTAAGATAACAAAAGTTCCATCACTCAGTGAATTAAGAACCTTTCCTAAAATTTGCACCAAAATCAAATGGGATAGTAGAGAGGTGGAAATGGATGTGACAAGAGAATGTTCTTTTTTACAAGAAAGACTGACAGTAGCCAAGTCTCCAGTTCAGCCTCACACCCAAACCACGCAGACCGAAGCTGGCTATTCAGGGTAAGTGGTTTGGGGGTAACGACGACTACAAAATAACAACTGGCTAGTCCAGAAGCCTCAAGTAGCTGGAAGAGATGCTCTTTGCAGATATTTAGTTTGCATTGCCATATCCCTAAGGTATATAATTAACTCTGTAGAAATGTTAAAGTCATAATTTCAAAAAGAAACTTGAAATAAACAAGAAGGTTCAAGTGCCCATTTAAATGAAGAATGAATGGTGTAAGAATAGGAGCCCAGTTTTTAAGGTAACTATATCTAGGTTCCTTAGTTATACGCTTAAAATAAAATTAAGAGCTACATTCTGGAACCCTTATGGCATCGTGTGTGTGTGTGTGTGTGTGTGTGTGTGTGTGTGTGTAACTAAACGGTGTAGATAGCATTCCACGTTTGGCACACGCCTCTATTTTCAGACCCTTCTTTGGGTAAGTGAATGGTTCTTTTAAGTTGTATTTTATTTTGTGAAGTTCTTCAAACACATTTTCGTCTTCCAAGTAGCCATTTAAAAAAAGTACGCACAGCATGACAAATATATAACATGACGTAATAATATTTTAATCTTGGCCAAAGTTTTCAACAGAAAATTTCCGTCTGGTTAAAGACCCTGAGATAGAACTCATCAGCCCACTGGCCCCGGGGAGAAGCATCCAAGTGAGCTTCGGGTGGGGCAGTTGGTTGTTCTTTAGAATAGTTAATGGAGTAGGAGTGAGGAATTTGCAGAAAACGTGTCTGGGAGGAAGAAGTGGTCTCTACTGTGTAGTCTAAGCCCACGTTTTACTGTTGCTCATTTTGTTTTTATCATTGCTGGCATTCTTCATGATGTATCACTATTACTCAGATATTAATAAAGTCGTCCAGCCACACACATTCAAACAAAAACGTATCTTGCATGTATTGCTACGGCACCAGCTTCCCCACTAACTAGCTGTGATTTTGACTTGCATATTTCTGTTTAAGTAATGTCAACCTTGAAAAACATCTATTTAAAGGAAATTACCTGGGTTCGAACTTCCGACGACTTACCCTCTTTGTTTCTCTGTATCCCAAGGCATGAACTTGTCTTGACACTACTTCTGAAATTCTACCTGCAACTGCAGCCTCTTCTCAAGTCCACTCCCACCACCCTAGGTCAAGTCCTCATGCTCATGTGTATTAGCGCCGTAAGTACAATGATTTCAGCTTTATTCCTGTGACAGTCATTTATGCTGCTCAAATATTTTCAGCCTTCTGCATTCTGGGCACGTGGAAAGATTGCACTTCTGGCCTCCTTGTAATTAGGTGAGACCATGTGACTGGTTTCGGCCACTGAGTTGTAACAAGTGACATCTGCCACTTCTGAAACAGAGTGCCCTTTCCTCTGCCACAGGAACCAGCAACTTTTGTGATAGTGGGTAAGGGGACAAGGAGATTTGGAGCCCTGTCTCCAGTCAACCCACAGTGGACATCAAATGTAAGAAATATGTCTTCTTGTTATAAGCCATCAAGATTTAGGGTTGTAACCACAGCATAAACTAACTTATTCTGATTGATACACTCCTCCACCATCCATCCTAAACACTGTCACCAATTAATCTGGTTATGTCACTCTCCCGTTCAAAGAAATCTCTATGGGAGTACAAACAGCTTAGTCCATCATTCAAGGCTCTTTGCAACTTGACCCGAGCCCGTTCTGTCGCCTCAGCAACCACTTCCCCACCAAGGAGAGGGAATGGGCTTCCTGAGAATTCACGAGCATATCCCAGTTTTCCGCCTTTGGTCTGGCTATATCCTGTTTCTCAAATGCCCAGACAACCATACACAACATCTACAACTAACAAAGAAGGTGTGGAATTCACAAGTCCCGATGTGGATTTTTGCTCAGTATTCACATTTACCCGAAACATTCACGTCCTCGTTAATGGCTAAGAATTTTCCACAGTGGCCCTTCCCAATATTATTCCCTCTTCCTGGAACTATTAAACTTGTTAGATCTTCTCATTTTGTCCTTCTAATGGCTTTCACATATTTCATCTCCTTATCTCTGTGCTGGATTCCAGGTAACAGTTTCGTGATCTATCTTCTAGTTCACCGATTCTCTCTTCAGCTTAGCCATCCAGCTTTCCTCCCAGGGTTACGGCATCCTGTTTTCCTTCTCTGGGTGTCGGCTTCTTCATTTTGTGCCTCTGGGCATTTTTTTAAAACTTTCTTGGATGCTCAAGTAGGCATTTAACAGATGCTAATTTCATATTACCAAGCATTTCTGGGTATTTAAGGGTAGACAGACTTCCAGGTTATTGTATAAAAACTATAGTGCCACAAACAAAAATTCTAGTATCGTGTTTTGCACATACTTTTTATTTGTTGAATAAATGAATATTTGTCAATATGTACATAAACACATAGAGCGAGCACTAGATTTAGAGCAAGAATATCTGGGTTCTAATACGCAAAGCCACTTACCAGCTATGAGGGCTTAGGCAAAGAATTTAAGCAGAGCTCAGCTTCCTCAACTGTGAAACTAGGCTAGTAAGACCTGTGCAGCCCACCACACAGGTTTATTGCAAGGTTCAAATGCAGAAACATTATGAAAGTGCAATGAATACAACTTAGAGCAATACAAGTATAAATAGAACAAGTAACAGCAATTGAATTTCAAGTTGAGGAATACTTAATCATGCCCTCGGATTACACCGATGTCCTGATGGAGTCGACAAGAAAGTTGACAAAATAGCTGATTGCTAAGGAGAACAAATACGTCCTTCTTCTGAGTGGGAAGAATTCTGCAATATCCTGTAGCCTGTCCCTGCAATGAATCATTTCCTAAGTTTCATGAGGATGTCACAGTCCCACCATCAATAACTCTCTCACAGAAGGACAAGGGCCAAACGTCCCACGTTTATTTACATGTGAAATGTGTTTAATACAGTTATGACGGGTGTAGTGCGTAACACCTCACAGCAGCAAGACCTTCTGAGCAACCGAATGCTGACTACGGTAGATCCATGCAAGTATCTATATATACACAAAGGAACTGCTTTTCTTAAAAAAAAAAAAAAAAAGAAAGAAAAAGTACAAAACATGTTTGGGGATAAATACAAGATATAAAATGCCAAAGAAAACACAAAAACGAAAACCGAAAAATATAACTTTCCCAGAGAACTATAAACGGAGGGGACAGAACAGTACCTCTGCTGCACTTCAAATAAAGCAGAACTACCGAGAGTAAATATACTTATTGAAATGAACGAACTAGACCCAGGCGGCTCAGTGCTTAATCTAATGGCTGATCGCCGAGCGCAGGCTGCTGCATTGATAAGTTGGTGGTTAAAGCTGAGCATCCCAACTCTAAGTACCAGAATGTTCGGCAGTAGCACCCAGGAAATGCCAACTCTTGAGACAGCAAAGGGTGAAGTCGACTACGATTTCTGTCTTCCTGTCAAGAGCCAGAGAAATACTTGATATCTTTAGTTGTTGTCTTTATAATAGTTAATAAATTACATGACGAAAACTCGACTATATAAATCTATTGGTCTAACTACGTTATTTGTAACTTTTACAGTAGTCCAGCCCTTTCGTAACTTTATCTCTTTGTGCTCTTTAAGCCAGCCTTGCAAATCTAGACCAGAAAACCACCAGCCCGCATTTTTACCTTGAGCATATCCTCCTTCCCCATTCTAAGATGGAAGGAAGGAAATTCCCCTTTCTGACTGGATTTCTGGCCTAAGTTTTCATTCACCACGGGGAAAGAAACTAGCTGCAAGGCTGCTTTCAACACTGGTTGGCATGGCCTGGGGAAGATGCCACACGCCGCCGGGGTGCGGGTGTGTCTGGATCACGCACTCCCGGGCTTCGAGCAGGCACGTTGAGGATAGTGCTAAGACACTTAAAAGTCCCTAGTGTTTTGAGACCCACGATCACCTACGATTTATGTAGTGAATGCTAAAAATTAAAAACACTAAAAAAGGCATTGTCTTAGCCTGGAATTAATTAACCCTTTTAAATCCATAACATACAAAATGGTTTATTTGAGTTCAGGAACTGCCCCTGTTACTAAAGAACTCTGTGTTAAAGAAATAATACAAAAAGAAAAATTCTAACCCCCCAAAAAAAAACAAACTCAAAACATTTCCTACTAAATACTGATACAAACATGTAACAAAGAGTATAAAAAGTTATTCATTTAAATATATACAAACTCTTTTAAACTCAAATACGGTTTTAATACTTATTGAGGATAAACACGACGAGGTGAAGAAGGTACGCGCGGAAGGAGAATATATCGCAACAGCCTAGACAGTACTGTCAACTCTATTATTCTGCAAACTTTTTGTAACAAAAACGTCTGTTTTAATTCCAATGTGGACAGGGATTTCCCTCATGGAAGGTCGGTCTGTGGCTATTTCTCAGCTGAACTCGCTCTTTTGGATTTAATGAAGGCCATGCCGTGGGTCCGCATGTGAGCGTTTAAGGCAGCTTCAGTTTCAAACGTTTTTGCGCACACTTTGCACTTCCTGTCGGACACGGCGCCGTCGGACGCCCCGTCCTCGGGGCTGGGCTTGTTCTCCGGCTGGTTCTCTTCCCCTGCCCCGTTCTGCTTGGACACCGGCTGAGGCTCTTTCAGCTTGTGCACGATGAACAGGTGCCTGGACAGCGAGACGTGCGACGTGTAGCAGAGCCCACACTCGCGGCACTGGTAGGAAGACCCGTCCGATTTGTGCTGCGGGATGTGTTCGTGGAACTGCAGCAGATTCTCGGTGGTGAAGCCGCACACGGCGCATTTGTGAACCTTAAAGACGTTTATCTTTAGCTTTTTCAGCGGTTGAGTAATTGCTCCCCTGGGAGGTCTGAACTCTAAAACTGGTTCTTCCAACTTCCGCTTGGGGCTGGGAACCTTTGAGATAAAAACAGACACAAGTGAAAGCCGTTCTGCCCTGTGGGTGATAAATGACCAGCTCTCCTGGACTCTACAGCCGCCAGGAAAACTGTACTGTGACCTTGGGGATTTGGGTTTTCTCACAGCTGCGCGTCTGCCTCCCGACCCGAGGCTCACGTCTTTCCCCCGCTCCACGAATAGGACTGGCCCTGCGCAACCAGGCATCGCTCCGGCCCACGGGCCCGGCAGCGGACAGACGAGTCCCTGCCTCCGTGGAACACAGGTGCCAAGGGAGTGTGACAAGCAGCAACCAAGTTGCCAATCCACAGTGTGTCACACACAGGAAGACAACGCACGGGGGAGAGGGGATGCGAAGCAGAGCGGGCAGCAGGTGGTTCGGTTACCTATCATGTGACGGCGACAGCTGAACAGAGGCCTGTTGCAGGAGGACACGAGCATGTGACCGCATCCCGCATCGGGGAGAGTCCAGACACGGGAGCTGTGCCTGCGAAGGCCTGAGCTAGGGCGTGGGCGTGGGGGGGGATGAGGGGGGATGGGAGCAGGGCCACCAGCTGAGTGCGTAGATGGGGCCAGGGAGACGCTGGGCTGGGTGGACTGAAAAGCACCTTGTGCGAGAGAAAATGCTGATGCTGCCTTTTCTGTGACTAAGATGGGGAGCCATGGGAAGACTCAGCTGGTCCAGGAACTGCCCGTTCCCGCCCACTCCCTTCGTCACCCTCCTCTCCCCTCAGGCCAAGCCTTCCTCCCTCCTTTCCAGCTTTCCAGATCCCACCCACATCGAATCCCCTTCGTTTCCCTCTCCAAAACGCCAAGCCAAAGGCTCCCTCTCATCTTTTCTGCCCTGTTCACAAGGCTCCTCTCATATATCCTGACCTGAAGCTACGACCCCAAACACCTTGACCTGAAGCTGCCCCCCACCTATATTCTTTAACACCCCCTACGCACCCCCCATCACTTAAGGGAAAGAATTACTACCTAATGGGACACTAGCCTGGCTTGGATTCTGACTGGCCTGACTCAATGATTAACTCCTTGGAAGCACACACAGGCTTTATTTACCCAGGAACATTCTAGATGGTGCCAGATAGAGGAGATCCCTTAGACACTTGCTGAACTGCTGCTTCACCGAGGACACTCGGCACACACATGCCTTGTACACAGGTTAATATATCGTGTGACCTGACCCAAGCTCACTATCCACTGATGTAAGAATAAGGCACAAATCTGTCGTTTTATCTTTCATCGTTACAAAGAGAAGCGAAAAAGAACGATTTTTATTCGGACCCTGTCACAATCGATAACGTTCCTAGTGAAAAACAATCTCGCTTTATACATTCCTTCTGGTTGAGAGATCGTTTTGGTGAGTCAACATCAAATTTTTAAATGTATTTATATAAGTAGATCCCTACAGCTATTTCTGGAAGGATACAAAAGAAATGTAATGAGAGTTACCTCTTGGGAGCAAGAGGAAAGGTCAGAATGGGTGTTGAAGGAGATGACCTATCATTTTATACCTTCACGCATAGTCTGAATTTTTAAAATTGTGTAACCGTAGAAAACTTTAAATGAAAAGAATGAATGCAAAAAGCAAGTCGATGCAATTTCACCGTAAAGAGAACATGTGCAATGTCTGACCTTGGTGTCTTCTTTTATCTCTGTTTCCTCCTCGTTGGTGGCTTCTGTCATTTCTTTCAAATCGGGATCCTTGATACCGTGCATGAGCTGGATGTGTTTCTCCAGCATCAACCGTTTCGTAAAGGTCCTCCTGGAGTCTGGGCAGTGCCTGCGGAGCAAAAGGCAAGAAGATATAACCTCCTTGCTGAAAAGTAACCTCCTTGAAGAACACACCTGCTGCAGAAGCACCTTCACTGGCCACGCGCACGCTCCGGGAGAGCCAGATAAGCTGCCTACCAAAGCGAAATGACAGTTTTGTTATGAATCACCGTTTCTAATGTGTGTAAAAAATTCTGCAGCTTTTAAAAAAAGTCTTCTGTTCGTTTTTGTGTCTTATGGGACCAGCCTATACTGGTTCAGATGGAATATTTATTTTCTAGGTTTGGTTCAAGTGTCACTTAATCTGCAATTCTAGATGGCTTTAATTTTAAAATGGAGAATGTTCAATTTTGAAAAGTTTTCTTTACAATGACTCACAGTGTTCTCTCAGGATTTACAACACGAGAGACACTTTAATACAAAGAGAGCCCCTCGGACTGCTTCACACCGAGGTTGTTATTGTCCACTCTGCCAGAACAAAGAGAGGACAGAGCGTCTCACTCTGCTGATTCCCTCATGGAGGCACACATGTCATGCACCTGCTTCGAATCCTGGCACTCAAAGACATGAGTTCATTCAGAGACTCAAATGTAGAAAACTGTGAACAGATACCCAAAATAGGTCAATTATCGAAGTGTTCATATTTTATCTTGTGTGGAGGAAAAAAAAAACCAGTAGATTGTGAATATAGTTTCTCTTTGGAAGAGAATACAAATTTACTGTTTTCTTAATAAAACAGGCCAAAAACAGGTAAAAAAAAAAAAAAAAAGTTAATGACCATGGTGATTATGGATGCTAGAAACCAGACATCAAAAATAACACTGCAGTGAAGAGGGATGGAAAGTACCTCATTGTCATAGGTAGACCCAACTTGCTGCCTTCAAAACAAGCTTCTAGGGAATTTACAGTGGTTGGTCCCACGCCGTCAGGATAGAGGCCCTGTACATGGAGGCGGTGGGAGCCGGCACCAACACCGAGCAACCCGCGAAATCGCACGACCATCCGAGCATTTTACCGCCATGCGGTGACGTCCCGGGGAGATAATCAGAGCCCATCGTGTGACGGATTCCGCCACGCCGGACTTCCTTTCCATCCTCCGCCAAGCCCAGGCCTCCCTTCTGAATTCTCTGATTCTTCCCATGCCATCTCAACACACAGGCTTTATGTGTTCATCTCACCAAAATCATTTTCAGCTTCGATTTCACTGAAGGAGGGTCTAGATCCCTGTTTTCCTCCTCAAGGAGCTTCCCCTCACTAATCAAGGCACAGTGAAGCCAGGCTGACCTGCACGAGTCTGCGAAGCCACACGGAACATGCGCACTACAGACCGGCTACGGGGCTTCTGTGTCTTCTCGTTCTTTCTTTTACCAGAAAGTGCCGTAAAGTAAGTAACCTTGTTAGATCAACTCACTTTCGGAATGTTCTGGCTGAGTGGGTGACAGAGCTTTTCCACTAATGATAATACAACAAGCTCTGACTTTCAGAAAGTGGCTTGCGACCATCCCCTGCATGGCACGGTCCACTTGGCGTGTTGGCCCACTCGGCCCCACGCATTTGACCTCTCAGGCAATAGTGTGTGTCCAGAGAAGGTGGTGAACTCCAGCCAAGGGCTGACTCCATGACCGGCCCTATCAGGGCCTGCTCTGGACCACTGGGGACAGCAACCAGACTCATCAGCCTGCCAACACTGGCCACTCCCTGTGTGTAAAGGGACCGAAAAGCAGATCACGCAACCAGGCTCCTGGGAACAAGTCACGTCTCCCAAGTCCTCGCTAATAAAATACATATCTCTGGACAACAGAAAAAACACAGGAATCTGCGTGGGGTGTGCAAGTAACTGCTCCTTTCTAAGTTTACTATTTTTACGTGTTACAACCCAATCAAGAAACTGTATGACAAAACAACAGAATATAATTAAGCAATGAAATCTATAAACCGTGGAACAGAGAGGGTGGGAAATGGAAAATGGGAAAATACGGAAAACCTCGGAGCTCCGGCTTAACCCTTCCACTGGCTTCCCACATTAGAGACCATGACTTACGAGCAGGTATAAACTTTCCTGATGCCTTTGTGCTTGATCCGATTGTGACGGCACAGGCTGTGCGAGGAGCTGAAAGATTTGTCACACTGGCGGCAAGGATGCTTTTTCATTTGCTTTATTAGGAGAAAGAAAGAAAGTCACTTAGGAGAATAAAAACAGAAAACACTCAAAAAACTAAGAATTCTTTCCTAAGAGTTTAATACTCATAATTGTTTAGCGATATAGTAACTAAACTAGAAGATTCTTTTTAAAGATGTTAATAAAATGAGAAGGCAGGGCTGGGTAACCAGGAAGAGGCTAATTTCTAGAGAATAGGACAAACTATCATAGAGTAAAAAATTATGTTTTTTTTTCCTCAAAAACACTTATGTTTTTGATTCAACACAAACACCCCGATATTTGAAATAAGAGAAAATGTTAAATAAATTTTCTTTGCAATAGGTGTAATAAATGTTATTTTTTTAAAGCAGATAATATATGAAAACATAATTCTTCAGTAAATACCAAATAAAGCCATCACTGAACTTACTGTATCCAGAAAAAATGTGTCAGCTTACCTGATGTGCCATTTTAAAATAAATATCTGGATAATTTTAAACAGTTTAACTTTTCCCCCCCTTATTGGGTAATTATTCCTTATATAAGGGGAGAGTTTTCCAGAAGGCCTTTTGTTTTAAATAATACCATTTGGTCACCTTAAGAACACAAAAGTTTGAAACTACTTTATGGAGACTGCCTGTTGGTATAGGCAGCGTCTGTATATATTTGCGAGGGAGAGAGAACAAGAGAAAGCTATGGAGAGAAGCATAAAAATCAAAAGTTACCAGTTTCCTACTTTGGCTAAGACATGTTACATTAATGTATTTCCATGGTAAAGTAAAATTAGTGGCTTAATTTTAATATAACAAATTCTTAAGGTATGATATGCATTGCAGTCTGCAATGAAACAATGTATCACAAGGAAATTAAATCAAAAAAGAGCTCTTGGCCTCATGAATGGAACAAAATTTGGCTCAATCTTCATCAAAAATGAGGCTGAAGCGGGAATAAGTTCTCATGGGAATAAATTCTCTCAAATAATACTACTTCTGACAATAAGAGATGAGCCAAATGATAATGATAAATATATTTTTAATTACTTTTACATCAGTCATCTGACAAACATATCCTGGTAAGCAAATCTATTTAAGTGGCTGAGAGTTTGGCTCCGGATTCCTAGAAATAGGTTGGCACCTTGTCTCTACCACTCATGAATCGAGTGACCTAGGGAAAGTGTCTCTACCTGATAAGCATCCACTCCCCAACTTCGAGGTGAGGGTCACACCAGTGCCCCTCTTGGAGGGTGCAGGGGAAGAGAGGGATTTCAGTAAAGGGTCAAATATAGTGCTTGGGACACAGAGAAATCCTCAATAAATGTTCTTTTATTAATAATAGTAAAGTTACGTATCCAAGTTTCATTTTAAAAGAGTGGAAATGTTGCCTTTTAAATAAAGCAAATCAGTCTGGCAGGGGTTTAAAAAGGTCTTGAAGCCAGGCAAAGGCAAAGGAGGGAGTTTCATCTCCATGTTAAAGATGAGAGCCATTCCACTGCTTGTATTGCATATTTTACTGTTGTCCTACTAAGCATATACTCTGACAAAAAGACAACGAAGTGAATACCAGTTGGTATTCTTTTCCCAAGGGCATTCCTTCATAAAAACTTGTGATCACACGAACTGGACCATTAGTATTCCCTAGGCAACTGGATGAACATTTATGTAGCCTGAGAAGGAATACGAGGTTACATTTAGAATAAAACTTTAAGTAAAGAACAGTCATGAACAGTCCTACTATGTTTCAATAAAGCTATTTAAATATCTACAAATATCTAATTCCTTCTGAATTTTGTACACATAAAATGGACAATGTTAAGATCACCTGGAAGAGTCAAAATACTAGCCGTCTTTCTAAAAGCAAGACAGCTGCAGCAAGAATTCTGAAGGATGCAGAGAACTGAAATTTATCTTTCTAACCATACGATGGGCAAGAGGTCTGAGAAATATAAACTGCATTTTCTATTTAGGTGAAGGGTTTAATATTCCATTTCTTGTTCTCATGTAGTTACATTAATAGCAAACCAAAATGTTTTTTCCCCTCTTTAATTCCCACCCTCCCCCTCAAATCCACCCCAGACCTATGGACGTTGTCGTTTCCTTTTTTTAAGAACGGGATCTCTGAAGGCGGGGTGTCTCCCCCAACACGCTTGAGCGTGCACTGGGGCCTGGCGCACCCCGACCCGGGTATGGTCCGTGGCTCCTCCTGGGGCGCAAACCCAGGACCTTCTGCGTGTATAGCAGATGTGCGAACCACTACACTATGGAGCCACCCCCGAAAATTTTGATAAGAGAAATTGCAACAAAAAAATCCGCAGAGGATAATAAATTAAATGAAAAGCTGCTTAGCCGAATCAATAATTACTATTTTCAAAAAGTTGACGTGTGAGATATTCTTTTTCAACATCTTTATGAAAAAAAATGCAGAAATGAACTATGCAAGTTCAAAACAATGGAGCAGGGTTTCAAAATCACTCATGACAAGAAAATTACAGGTTTAAACATCAGTTTCCAAATCAAACCTGCTGCGTTCGCAGAACCTAACAAAACAAATTACTCTTCTTTGTTAAAATTTAAATACTAACTTATTTAAAGGCGCTTTACCTAATTTATTTTCATAACTGTACCTTTAATATTATAATAGTTCACACTGATACTTTATGACACAGAAAGAATTTTTATCAATCAAACAAAAATAGAAAAAATGGTATTAAGTATAAAGCCTATCAGCGTCTGTTTTCAAAACTTTTAAGGTCATTTACTTCCTTCTGGCTTCCATAGACTGTAGGCTGATACTGAGAGAACTATACCCTTCAGTGGACTTTTTATAGTTAAGAAAAGAAACATGTTTTCCTACTTGATTATTAGTTATTTTGTTTTTAAAGTGAACTCTTTGAAGGAATAGGAAAGTAATAATAATAATAATAAACTGTCAGATTCTGAAGATTTTTGTAAAACTTTGCAATAAAAGTATCAAATAAACACTTGGGTATACTTCTTAAACTTCCTCCCTAATCTCTAATTTTTGACTCTTTTATCTTCACATACTTTAGGAAAGAAAGCATTAGCTCTTCTTAGCAAATTCCTTTGCTCTGAATGTGCTGGCCTTGGGCTCAGGTCTGAGCTCTGGGATTTAAAATGCCTCTGAAATCCATTGTTTTCGGATGGCACTTGGTGAATGTGTCCTGCATTGCCACTGGCTCTGTCACAATCAGACATTTCCCATTCTGATAACTAATCCCTTCTTGTCTCTGGCTTGAAGGCCTCTTTCTGTGTCAGGGGACACTGAAGAAGTTAGGGGGAGAAAAGTCACATCTTCCACAAACCCATCTGGCTAGACATTCATTTCACCTTTTCCTGAGACTGAGACCTCCACGAGGCATTGGCCTTGCACCAACATGCAAACAGCCTCCTTGATGACCAAAATATCCAGAAACATCCACAAATTTAAGATTAAAGGGAGCGGAATTATTCCCGCACTATGCTGGACACACACTCTTCAGCTCTATCACATTTTTATGAAAGAGGGAAAACCAAACCAACTATAGGATTTAAACGTATCACAGCAGCAATCTCTCAGGATTTAATTCCTAAGCTCTGGACCCTTTCACTTGGGAATCTATTTTACAGATAGACCCACACACGGTGGGTACAGTTCTGCTATAACATGACATACACATAACACGTGTTATAAATCACTGCACTATGCAAAGTCAGGCAATAAAAACTACAGGGCTTCCATCAAAAAGTAAGCTAGGGGCATAATACTCAAAACTGTCGGTGGCACATTTAATGAAACAGCAGCATGGCTTTAGACATGTTAAATGGTTAAGAAATACACAGATACTGCAAAAAAATGACACTTTACCTTGAAAAAGACCTGCAGTTTGCTTGTGGAAGTGGGCGCGAGAGCATTGTGGCTTGCTGGGTTTTTGTAAAGTGGTGAAAGGGGCGGGGGTTGGGGGGTATCTGAAATTGGAGGGTCGGAGGGAAGTTGTAACACCAGGTGTGAACCAGTGCGACTCAACACAAGGGGAGAAGAGGTCGCAGGTGGAAGGCTGCGGTGTGTGCGTGTTTTGTTTACTCCTACACAACTCCATCCCCCAGTTTTCTGTGCCCAGGGATGAAATCACGCATGAGCAAACTTGGAATTCACATTATGCTCCAATTGTTCCCTGACGTATCAATTGCGTTGGAACAAATTTGCGTTTTCAACACAGAGTTCTAATGGCACTGCTGTATATACAAGGTTATTCACTGCAGCACTGTGTCATGGGGGAAAAATGTGGGGTCCATCAAAGGAGAACTGGTTAAATACACTATATGTGCTCGTATGCAACATTCTTGCCATGTGGCTGTAGAAAAGAATGGAAGATTGCAGTGCACCGATGTGAAAATGACTGTAACATACACTATCTGGAGAAGAAGCCAGTGCAGAAAGTTATGCTGCCAAGCTGTGTTCTGTTAGAAATGGTAAAAATGAGGACATATATCCATCTATGATGCTACTTATATAGAGAAACCTCAAGATGCATAAGAAACATAGTGATTATGGGGAGCAGGGGTAGGAATAAGGCTTTTCACTGTGCTCCATATTGTTTGGATTTTTCAAACATGAATATAGCACTATTAAAATTTTTAAGTCAGGTTTACTGAGGTATAATTTACAAACTGTAAAATTCACTCTTTTGAATGTATAGTTCGAGTTTTGACAACGTGGATACACTTGAGTAACTTCCACTACAATCAAGATATAGAACAGTTCTATCGCCCCCAATGCAAATTCCCAAGTGGCCCTTTATAGTCAACCTGTCTTCCTTCACCCAGCTACTGGCAACCACTGATCTGTTTTCTATCCTATAGTTTTGCTTTACGCTGGTCATATAAATGGAACCATATTGTATAGCAGGTAGTTTTTCTGAGTCTGGCTTCCTTCACTGGGCATAAAACATTTGCAATTCACCCACGCTGCTGAGTGTATCAGAATTCCATTCCTTTTCACTGTGGAATAGCATTCCATT